TGGCTAGATGAAGGCGGTGTGGCATTGATGAAATTTGGAGCGAATTCAAAAATTGGTTGTGAAGAGAGGTCAGAGCTACTTCTAGTTTTAAGCTGATTAACATGACGTTTGATGTAACCAAAAGATGTGTTCACTCTGTAAACCATTTTACCAAGTTGTTTTACAATAACTCCTTTTATCCATTTTTCCCCTCTTGCGTAGTTTCGAGCGAAGACGGGTTGCTTTAGACTAAATTTCATTTTCCGTTTCGAAGCTTCAAGGTGCTTCCTAGGCGATTCAAACAGTTGACTCAACAAGGTACGAACAGGCCTTCCATGTAAAAGTTCTGCAGGTGATTTACCTTCAGCATTCGGCATTGCACGATATGTTGCAAGATATTTTGATACAGCGAATTTGAGAGACAATCCATCGTCAATGTTTTTCTTAACAGCAGTTTTAAAAGATCTGACGAATCGTTCGGCTAACCCGTTTGAGGCTGGATGAAACGGCGCTGTTGTTATATGTTTGATGCCAAGTTTTGAGCAAAACTGTTTGAATGCTTCAGCTGTAAATTGCGGACCATTGTCACTTACGATGGTTTCTGGTATACCTTCCAGAGAAAATATAGAAGACAATGCTGATACGGTGTCAACCGTTGTTGTTGTAGATAGTTGTACAACGAACGGAAATTGTGAGAAAGCGTCGACACAAATTAGCCACATTGAATTACAAAATGAACCAGCAAAGTCGATATGTACTCTCTCCCAAGGTCGATCAGCTTCAGGCCAGCTTAAGTATTCACGTGCGTGAACAGGATTTGCAATATATGCATTAAACAGATCCAATATAACATACGGTGTATAAATATATGAATTAAAATTTTGTCTTGATTAGTTTGTTTTTCAAATGTAAAAATATAATCAAATTCATGTCTATTAGACACAAATAATAGAGTTTGAATCATCTTAATTGTTACCACTGATGGACTTTTCCATTACATCAGATATAACACACAAGTAAACGTTTAGTTATTTGTGAAGATTTCTATTTTTAAGCTTAACGTTTACGAAATTAACTTCATTCCATAACCAAAGCCAAAACGTTTATACAAAATAATTCTCGAAATATAATTTTATGGAATTCATTCATTAATTTGAATGTTTATTTGTTGAACCAAAGTAGAATTACATTGCAACTACACAGAATTATGAATTCAAATTTATGCTAATAAGTGAGAATATGGTTTTACACCTGGCGCCAGTACCGGAAGTACTGAGAAGGTTAACCGGAAGTTATAAATATTCATAAAGCAAATTTATTTCAAAATTAATGTTGAACATGAAATTTTTGTTGGATTCAAAGTGTTAAATTGAATCTTTACTGCCTATAATTAAGTTTAAATATATTAATTGGAAAAAATTAATAATACTTATATTTATAGTAAAAGGATTTCATAAAATATCTTTAGTAAAAATGATGAAGTTTATAAAATAGCAATAAATCTCACAGTAGAGTAAGATTTAAAAAATGGTTCCCAATGTATTTACTATAAGAAAGAAAATGCTAAAACTTTCAATGAAAGTATCCCATAAGTTGACTATAATTATTTTTATATTAAAATCAAAAATATTAATTCGATAACATATAATTTAAATGTTTTTAAAATTATGTACTTAAATGGAAATTATTTGCAAGAAATCTAAAAAAATTTATGCTAATAAAAGAATAAACATAATACAACACATATAATAAAATAAAATTATTAAGCCCGTCAAGTAGTAGCATATATTATATAGTAAACATTTTCACTAGTTTTAAAACACATTAAACCATGTTGCGACTTTTCCTATTACTACTTTGAAAGCATACAGATTACTCTTAAAAACTATTTACTCGTGATATTTGCCTTTATCATATGAATTAACCTTAAAACTATCACTTCCAAAATATTCAAATATTATTACAAAGATGTGTCCATTAGAATAGAGGGAATTTCGAAAGTTTAAGAGTCTAACATAATAATATTCAAGTACACATCTCGAAAGCTTTTCTAATAAACTAAAGTGTTTAAGGGAAACAGTTAATCGACACTCTTATTAATTCTGACTCTACACGCTATGCAATTGACTACCTTGTAGAATCGCGGAGTACAAGAGATCTTACTTGTATATTTAAGAGATATATAAAACAAATATAAAACATGATACACACAGAAAATTGATTAATTATGACAGACTACACACAAAGCAAAACAACATAAAATCACAAACAACACAAGCTCAATCCGATTACCAAATACTTGGCTCAGAATGAAATGCAATGTAATCGCTCCATTATTCTATCAGCTGATAAAAAATTGCCTTCATGTTTACGTCAAGAAATCAAAATTCGATGGTTACGTTTCCTCATATTTTTACTTTGACACATATATTTAAAAACATTGTTTTCTTCAAGATAGGTCAACTGAGTTTCTTACAACACAACTTATTCAACCTTAAAAGTGTTGGTTTATGACTTAACAAAGCAAAGACTAAATGCGTCAAGCTTACAAGAAAAAGCTATGATATCAAAGCTTACCAGTCAACAAATATAGTTTAGATGTTGTAGAATACTTAGCTTGCCTTTAGACGTCAATCAGGAATGACAATTTTAGCATAATCACAATAAGCGACAAATTGTAATAATAGTAGATACTACTAAAAGAACTCTTAACCTTCTGAAATCTAGACCACTTTCCAAAATATAGTAAGCTACGAATCTACAAAACAGTTAAAAGATCAATAGGTGTTTACGGGCTGGATAACGATGATGATAAAAGATAATAAAGAAAGCCTTTAGATCCTTAAAAAGAAAATAATTCGCCAAATCTATTAACATATCAAAAAATACGGACAAATTTTCAGAGCAAAATCAAATATAGAAGTTTATGTTTACTAGAAGATGCCACGTTCAGCAATTCTATCAAGAAATCTGAAATTGCCCTAGGTGGTCGATTTTTTGATTTACGTAAATACATTATTTTGAATATTTATTAAATTTTACTTTTCATTTTTTATTTTCTCATTTTCTCTCTCTCTCTCTCTCTCTCTCTCTCTCTCTCTCTTTCTCTTATCCTCATCTTCCAGTGGAGCATAGGACCTCTACCATTCTTTTATATCGGATTCTGTTATTTAATTTTCGGCAAATATCATTCCAGGAATAATTGGCTTCTCTTAGCTCTTCCTCAATTGTCCTCCCTCAAGTTTTAGCTGGCGCTCTAGGTTGACGGCTGCCTTGAGTATTCCACCTCAGAAAATTTTCACTTTTACGCAACTTAAAATATTAACTTAATCATTTATTACCTAACCCAAATAGTATCACAATAGAAACTTAAGGTCAAAATTGCTTTAAACCACTAATAAATTAGTTTTCATTTTTAAAATCAATATCAGAATTATTGCATGATGATATATGTGAATAAACTAAAACTATTAATCATTTAAACAATTATTTTATATATAATATTATACATATATGCTCCATTATTGCGTCATATGTGTCATATATTCCATACATATACCCACGTACATATCTATTAAATAATTTAAAATATTTCATAAAATAAAATACAAATAAATAAATCCATTCATATAGTAGTTTTATCATTTTTATTGATAGGAACAATTTACCGAAACAAACTTAAGCCCTTCGTAATATCCTTAACATTAAAGTATATAGTTATTAATTTTTTTTTTTGTAATTGAAATTTTTTATTGCTCTCTTAATAAAAAAATTGCAATATTAACACATGAACCTTTAATTTATTGCTATTTATTTTTTATTCGAATTTGTCGGTCCGTATATACTTCAATTTAAATTGCGTTTTGCTACTAAAGGATTAAGATGGCTTTGGGAAAAAGTATATTGAGTGCTACTATTTTATAAAATTGAAAATTTTTTTTATAACATGTAATCCAAATAGTATAGATATTATTTAACAGATTTTTGTCATACAAGCAAATAAAGTTTCAAAACTTAATTGATCCCTTGCTAAATCAAAATAAAAATAACAGATAAAAATGAAAGGATTATTTCATATCATAGTTTTTGTAAATATGTTTTAATGGATTGTATAAATTTTTAAATATTAAATGCAACCGATGTATTCTTAATTGTTTTTAATATATTTGAAAATATTTTATACACATACAAATCAATATTTTTTAAAAAATAAATTAAATTTCAATTTATCTTATTTAGTACTATTAACAATTGTTGCAATAAATTTAGAAAATATATTAAATATGATTTGTCTTACTTATAAAACTATAATACAAAAGCCTTATAAACTATTGAATTTATACAATCTTCAGGATTTCAGTTATGAAGACCACAAGTGCTTGTAATGTTTAATTAATCGGTATGAAAAGTTATAGAGACATGGATTGTTTACTTAAAAATAATATATATTTAAAGTATATAATGAATTGGCAATATTAAACTTTAAAATTAATTAAAAGAAAATATTTCACATACTTTTAAACCCATTTAAACTCATTAGTAGGTCTTAAATATTAAATATTATTTATCTTTTTTGTACGAACTAACCGAAATTTACAATTTGAAACTCTTCTCCAAAATGCATGGCCTCATTTTTTTCTCTTCATTGGTAATACTGAACGGCGTTACTATAAGAGAACACATGTCAGGGTCATGTTAAGCAGACGATCATACACCTATGTGTATAATATTGCCATAAGGAAATTGCACTCATATCTGGTAATATACTTAATATCAGGAAAAGAATTAGCAATGCTAAATCTAACCGCCATTCTTGAGTTTTCACGGCCAACAGGGCTTGAAAAATTTTGGAAAAGTTACTCCATACTTGTAGGGAGAACTACAAAAAATCTTTT